GGGATCCACATCTTGCTGATATAAACAAACAGTGTTGTTGGCTTCAGTGCTAGTTGTGTCTGCTGAGAATATTGCCTAAAAATTTTACACACAAAGAATAGCCTGAATGAAGACATTACTCAGTAGCTGTATCAGACTTCATAATTTGTCTATATTTTATGTCTTCTAGCAGATCATAGCACTGCTCTGTTTCTAGTCTGACACTTTGTTTTGATTTTAATAACCTAATATGAATTAAAATAGCAGGTGCATAGCAACACCTCTTTAGAATGAGTGTTTGATGCTAATAAGCATGTTTAGCCAAGATGTTGCTGAGCCATGGCTTTCATCTCAGCCTGTACAACACATATATGATTAAAAAAATTAACTGCTTAGCTGCTGGCTTAAAGATTGTGAAAAGCATGTATAAAATATCAACACAAAAATTATCAGTCAATGAAATGATGGGACATCATTAGGAAAACAGGAAAGATTCTGTGTAGTCAGATGACTAACATCACTATACTCTGTATTTTTGCTAATAATGCTGCCAACACTGGAAAAGCTGGATGTGGTCTGATAAGAGACTGGTGCATATAAAAGGAACCAAACACTACAGAGAAGGATTCTTCCTTCACATAAAAATGAAACAAAAGTCTGTGCACAGACATAAGCAAACCGTAGTTGCATCTAGTGGAAAATTGAGGGCTCATTGAATGGAAGGGTTAAGGAAGGGATTACAAGAATGAACTCCAGGCAGCCAGTGGATTCAATTCCCCTAGATTGTTGGAGAAGGAAAAAGCTGCATATCTTTGTCTCTTGTAATTGCTTTGTTCATTACCCTCCTAAATCCCCAAAACAAACAACAAACAAGCCAAGCCCTCCCTTCCTACAGAATAGCCCTGCTATTACAAAGGTTCCACTTGTTAAAGCCACTCCTGGCTATTTCGGGGCTTTTTAACCTTTTATCCTCTTACCGGGTTGAAGGTCAACAGAACTCACAAAGAAAATATTGTAATTTGTTTTGCTGGTAAACTAGGACTTCACTGGAGGCACGAACTATCAGACTGGGATAGTGCAGACTTCATATTTAGCCTGGGTCCAGTCTGGAATTCTGAAAACACAGCTCGGTTGGACTCGATAATCTCAAAGCTCTTTTCCAACTTAAATGATTCTGTGATTCTATTATGGGTTCTGCTACAAGAGGATCAATGTATCATTTAATTTCTCTTTCAGCGTCTGGGGCAGACCCTATACACTCCATCATTACCTTAATCAAACAGCACATGAGATAAATTCCCTGCATCACTGAAGTTTCCAGTCTCTCCGTGATTTCAGTACTTGAACAACATTTCATGTCTCTCATTCTGAATCATCAGACTCTGCACCTTCTGATAGGAAACACCAGCAAAATGGCAGATATTAAAGAGAAATCCAGCACACACAGCAGTGTAAGAGGGATTTCTGAAAGCTGCTTATTAAATTCTGTTAAAAATATTGTTGGCCTCGGATATGACTTTGTGTTAAAGGTATAATTGCATTAATTCTTAGCAAGGAAACAGAATTTCTTAGCTGAACACTTCCCCCAGCATCCTGATTTATTCTCAGTTTGGACCAAGCTGTTAATAGGCTGAGTTCTGCAAAGTCTGTGATCCTGGTAAGTCTGCATGCATATTTTCCAGGGGTAAACCTATGCATTTGAGTCACTGAGCCTAAACTGTGCAGCATAATTAGAGGAATGAGCCTCAGGTTGCTTTGTCAAAACATTCTTTAATTGCTGGATTTTGGGATTATTGGATTAGAAGATTAGATGGGATGCCTGGAAATCTTAAATTGAAGCATCCACTAAAGTAAAGCTTCTCATGAAACCTCACAGTTTGTATCACTTGCTGTAGCAATTGTCCAAGTATATTTTCATGGCAGGAAAATATGGGCATATTAACAATACTTTTTCTGATCTCCCTTCTTTTCTAACACATGTTAAGGAGCTTGGTAACTTTTCTGCATGAGAATCAATTGCCATCTCTGATGTAGCCAGGGGTGATAGAGAGCTCTGAGCTTGGTCTCTGACTCACTGAGCTTCCTTGCCCACAGGATGCTGAAGGAATCCTGATCCCAGCCAGACATGGCATGGCACTCACCCTGCAGTGGGTGACTACACCTGAATTACATCATGAGCAGTAAGCATAGCTCCATTTTTTTGGCATTCTGACAAGGCTGAATGATGTCAAAGCATTTTGCTCAGTGCCCCTGAGTCACAAGAACAAGGTACACTACAGGAACTCCTCCTTTGTCCTCAGTGCAGTGCCAAGTGTAGAGACTTCACACGTAGCACACAGGAGGTTATTCCATCATTCCTCATGTGAGCTTATCTCACTTCTAGGGCACACTCAGTACTTCACTCCTGAAAGTTTCTGAAAGAAAGATTTCTCCAGCTGCTGGTGCTCTCCCTGCTTGGCCCAATGTGTCACGAACCTCACAAGAAGGACTGTCTATATGTTGTATACATGTGTGTGTGTGTGAGTAGAGGAATAATGGCACAAGGATAAACAGCACCAAACAGGGAGGGGAAACCTCAGGCCATGGCTCAAATCCTTCTTGAGAAAAATGCTGTGAAGTGCATGTCAATATTGAGCAGAATTGTCTGGTAAATTCTGCTGGAGGTTCTGAACCCACAGGTTTGGAGTCTGGATGGGACAACTGATATAATAGTGCCATGTTGTTTTTTCCTGAGATGGTTTTGTAATTCTTAGGGAGATGACTTGTAATTCATTTACCAAAGAGTTTTGAAAGTTATTATTAATAGTCTGTCATCAAGTTTTGTGAAGCAAACAGGACTTCTGTTCACAAGCAATATGGGTTCAGCTGTGCTGGCCATATTCTCAAGACATGAGCAGAGTAATCATCTGCACTTCGAAGCACCATATTCCCATATCACTTAGTAGTTGCACTGCTGAAATGACAGCACTCAAAATAAAAAGCCAAAGCACTGAAGTGTCCCAGTATGAATGGAGACTATGACTGCCTAAGCAGAAGGATTAATATGGGAAGGTGTAAATCATATTCTTATTTTCTGGGGTAAAAGAACAAAATACTTTGGTACAATTTTGGCACTTCTAAAATCAACTGGTATTTTTGTCACTGATTTCCGCTGTTGGGTCTGACAGTCTTGTCAGGATTTAAAATACCTGAATAGGCATAATTATGTCTAGTCATGGCTTTCATATTTTGAAATTGAAACTGTAGGAATAAAAAAGATAACAGTTTATCACTTCGTTCTTTGGTAACAGAGCTCTGTGAAAAATAAATGCTTTCACTAAATTCCCACTATTTCAAAAATTTCTGTCTGAGGTAGCACAGAGCTTTCCAACTTCCTTTAAAACAGTGATCTGTGTTTCTGTTTAACCCAGGGACTGATAAAAATGGTTATACTATCGGGTAGCATAAAATAAGGAAATAAATAGCTCAACAGATGTTCAGTGGGATACATTTCTTTCTGTGCTGTGGGTGGCTACTCACTACTGTCGAACCAAAAAGAAAGTACCTGCAGGAGCCCTTTTCCTGCCTAAACTGAAAAGGCAGCCCGGCTCAGCCTTGCCCAGGAGTCGGAAGCGAGGGAGTCTCTGTCACCCACAGGAAAGGGAGCTCAGGGGAGGACAGGCCTTTACCAGCGTGGCCTCAGCTGCCTGCAGGGAATGCAGCTTCAGGCCCTGTTTGCCCACCTTCTGCACCAGTGGAACTGTGCTGTCTTCAAAGGATATTCTGCACATGCACCAGGTCAGGTCTGAGCCTTTGTTTAACCGCATATTCCCCTGAAGCACTTATTTCTGTGAGACACTGCAGAAAACTCCTGTACAAAATGGCCTGAAAACAGGGACAGAACTGGGCATGAACCGCTCCCCACCCCTGTGCTCACCCTGTGCCCTTAAATATAACTATAAACTGGAGGCCTTGAAATCTCTGGCCTCTTCTGAATTGCTCTCATGGGTAAAATTATCCCCAAAGAACGTGACACCAACCACAGACAATTTGGGGGTCACTAAAATTGCTGCTAACTTTGTGTCAATCAATTCTTTTTTGTGTGTCACTGGCTCTAAAAAGCCAGTTGGCTTTTTTGGCTTCTTTGCCTCTTAAAAGACATGCAAGATTTAGTTCTAAAGGGGTTTATATTTATCAGAAATTCACAGAAAGAGAGAAAAGTGTAGAAGGTTATAGTAAGTGTGTGAATCCTGCCATTTGTATTACAGAAATATTTTTGTAATCAAAAATATCCTTGCCAGAAACAGTTTCAGGTTTCTTTGGTATTTAGAAATCCTTTGCTAAACAAAGTAAAAATGAATGATAAACAAAATCGAGTTTCCTTTGAGCCTGATGTTCTTGCAGCTGCACTCCACTTTTAAGAGTAACCTATTAGCAATTAATTTAGAATGACACTGGCAAGCAGTTCCCAGACTTTAATTAATATCTTTTTGACAAGCTCATAATCTTTCTAGTTAATAAAGTCTCCCTTAAATTAGTTTAACTCTGATTTCACTTACCATTGTAAGCAATCAGCATCAAATCTAGGGTACTCAACAGTACTTTCTCATTTCAAATGCCTTTAGACAGAAAATATATAGTTGCATTTTAAAGAGCAGAAAAAGTATTTGATGAAGGTCACCCTCAATCCACTGGCAGAGCTGGAAAGAAAATCTAGGTGCCTGATGCCCTTCTGTGTGATTGATCAAGCAGTGGGGCTGTCTCCTGTCTTAGCATCTTGCAAGGAAAGGATTTAATTCCGATTCCAAGTTACATAATTGATCCTTTTCCTTTATGTCAATGTCAAGATCTTTGAAAGTTATGGTACAGTGCTGTGGCTACAGTATAGTGAGTCACTGTCTGCAAAAGTTACTTAGATAACAAGTATCAGTACAGGACAACTTAGGGGGCATTTAAATTTATGCTTTTAATATATTAGTCTCCTTCTGAAAACTTTGCCCTTAAAATTCTGTGTCAGTTTTGCCCCCACGTCTCAAATGCAGAACCAATCCACAGGAGGATGTTCTGCAGCCCCGTTACCCTGTGCTGTGCAATAAGAGACAAGCCTGTTGAATTACAAAAGATGCTGAAATTAAATCTCCTTTGACCTCTTGGTAAGTCAACAACTTTTATATCAATGTTCTGAAATGTGCTATATATATGCCTGTTGCATATGTGTATTATAGGCAAAAAATTTTAGCTGTAATAAGGTAATTTTTGATATGTAAGATCACATCAACCTTTCTTTCTACTTTGCCTGCAAAGCAAAGATGTGCACAAGTTCCTGTCAGGCTTTGAGTCTGATTCAGGTTTTTTTCAAAATTTAGAAAACTCCAGCTTCCAAGCTGGAGAGTTTTAATCTAATTACATCTACAAAGAGAGGAGATCTTTTCATCTTCAAGGTAATCAATGTTTTGTGTCTAACAGACAACTGTAGGAAATACTTCTGTAAGCATTGGATGACTCTGCTGTAACAAACTGCCAAGGGAGACTGAAGGTAATAATTTTTGAAGGTAGTTTTTGCCAAGTGAGGATATAACAGTTTTAATTTGCTGGTTCACAGGGATGGCTTGTTTTAGTTTTTATTTTTCATGTAAGATGAAGCTTGATGTGAAAATAGGTATAAAAAAACAAGACTTGCTTATTAATCTCCTTCATCTTAAATAAATGTAAAAGCCTAATTTAAAAATCTGTCTCATTAACAAGGACTAAGATAATCAAGGTGACTGAAAAAGATCAGCATGTTCTGCAACTGGATTGGGATCCCAAGACCAGGAGACATCTCACCACCTCTAGAAGTCGTGAGTGCTCCGAAAGTATATGCCTAAAACATATAAAACCAAAAAGAATGTGTCCCAAACCCCCTTTAGAACAGTTTTAGCAGAAATTTTAGAATAGTTTTACTCCCATAGGTACCACCTTGGAATCCTGACTTTGTACAAAGGAGTTATTTGAGGTTGCTTCTTTGTTCTTTGGGGTTTTTTTCCTCTTAAGTCAACACTGTGGAGAAAAAAAGAGATGAAAAAGATAGCTAGTGAAGAAAAGTGCAAAAAATGTTTTCAATCAGTAGTTTGTTCCTCAGTTGAATTTCCACAGTTTTCCCCTCAGAGCCTGCTGCCTGTGACAGCATCAGCAGCCTGGAGGCCTTATTGCTGTGACAGTTCCTACAGTTCTGTGGCAGAGATAATTCCATTCCAGCAGTCACAAATTAGAAAATGGTTTCCTACAATAAAACACCAAATGAAACCCAACATGATCTTCCCCCTTTCTCATGCGTGTCAACTGTAAAAAGTTTCTTTGGCCGGAATGTGGCTCTGATTACATTTCTCTATCCCAAAATAAACACGGTGCAAAAGAAAAGGGTGCAGGGAGGAGGGGAAAGCCTGTCAATGGGCCACCCTCAGGAAACCTCACAAGATCTACTGTCTGTCTGTGCAAGCCAGGGAAGAGCCAAGGAAGTGATCCCAACTTGGTGGTCTTATTCTTAATTAAAACAAATGAGGCTCTTTCAGCTGCTGCAGATAAATATTTGATGAAAAGGAACAGGGACAGATGTCGAAAAACTGTAGTAAATAAAGAATAAGACCAGAAGAACAAATGTTACGACAGCATTTTATATTAAAAAAAAAAATCATTATACAGATTTCTGTCAAATGTCTAATTTTACAAATATCATTCCAAAAGTGGGAAGATTAATTCTTTGTATTTGTTTTGTTGAAGTAGGATGAAAATACAAATGCGTATAGATAAAGTTTTAAGTCAACTTGTTGCACATTATGTGCTTAAACCAAAGGGTGAGTTTTTGGGCCATTGATGAGACAGAAGGCTTGAAAGTCGTTTGTACACTTCCATGAGTTTACGTTACTTTTGGAGTGACTGATAGAGTTTTGGTCCAAAATATACGTTAAGGATGCCCAGTGAGAAGCTGCCTAGCAAAATCCAGTAGCAACATCCCTGTTGCAATAATGTGTCATAATATTTGTAAGTCACAGCCTTTCTGAATGGTTGATTTTATCAGGTGAATGTGGTGCCATTCAACCTTTTCCTGCGTCACACTTGTGTTTACAAGAACACTTGGCTGTAACATCAGACTTCACCGTGCTCACAGTGGGGATTTACACAAAATGAGCTCCAAAGGCCCCTCCCCATTTCAGTTACTCTGTGCCTTGAGAGCACTGGGTCCAGATTAGTTTATCTTTTAGCAAATTCATTTACAGCGTTCTATGAAAAAATTGATCTAATGGAATTAACTTCCAAGTAGGCCATAAAAGAAAGCTGAGTCATGAAATTGAGGAAAAAATCTCAGCATTTGGCTCTTTCAAGATTAACATCTTCACTGTTTAGTGTTATATTGGCATTGCCTGCTGGTTTAGGGCCTGATTTTGCTATTCTTGGGTAAAATGGATGTTTCCCTTGAGTCCAGTGGAATTACACATCTGAGTGTGAAAGAGCTGATTTTATAAGTAGGCTTTACAAAACTGCTGAGTGTGAACCTCAAGAGTGCCAATGGAAATATTTCGTGTGATAACAACATTTAAAAAGAGCATGGTGATTTGGGTCATCAGAAGCTGGATAAATCGGTATAATCCAAATTCTGAAAATAAAAGTGTTGGAATTATGAGTGAATGGAGTCCTTGGATATACACCTGACTCTGAAGATGGCTGAGAAGAAAAAGTAAAAAGCTGATTGACTGCAGTGCATAAAAGGGTCTACATGGGGATAATGTAGAGCCAGAGAGTCCAACAATAGGCACAGGTGACAGCAGAGCAACGTGCAGTGACAGAAAATAAAAGTGAACAGGTTCAGACGAGAGATGAGGAACAAATTCTAAACACTGAGGAAATGTAACCTTGGACTGCAACAAACTTTCTGTAACTGGAGGTAATGAAATCAGCCCAGAATTCTAATGAGTAGCTATGGGTTAAATCCTCTATGAAGACTGCAGGAAGAACTTTGTAGTTCGCAGAAAGTCAAAATATATTATCGTAATTGTGTCTTCTGGACACAGCACCTGCAAATTTGTAGTGTTCAGCATAACATTGTATCCCAGGCCTCTAGAGGTTTTCTGAAGCTGACACAAAACTCCTGATCCGTGGCTCACACAGAACACCTGCCCCTTCCACTGCCAATTCCAGGCAAAACCAGGTAGTCTCAAGTGTACTCAATAGTCTCAAGTGCAAAACAATGAGGCAGGTAGCTTTTAATTTGAGGATCAAACATAACTCAATAGCAACCTTGCTTGGCACCAATTTACTTGTGATCTGACAGAACCAATCTGAACCCAACAAGCTCCCAGAGATAACAGTTTGTCAATTTTCCATTTCAAAGGCAGCATGATAACTGAGAGCTTCCAGATATATCACATGGAAATCAAACTTTCAGCAAACAGCAAACTTTCTGATAAAGGCCTAAGCCTAATTCCATTGAAGTCAATGACAAACCCAGCAGATTTCAATAGAAGTTGAGTGAGGCTCAAGGTGAGAAACAACTCTGAGGACAGTTATAATCAACTCAATCCCCAGTTAGGACAGAAAAAATGTGAGAGGATTTTTTTTTTTTTTATGAGTCCTGAGTTGAGAATTCCCAAAGAGTGAGTTGCAGGAATCTGTGACACCGAGCACTTCAAGGCACCTTTGCAGAAGCTGGTAAGATTTGGCAAGGTCAGCATGTGCCCAGTTAGTGTGGCATGGCCACGCCCAGCTGAGAACTTCCATAGAACCTGACAGCAGTTACCCTCCTTATTTAGCCTCAAGCAATGTCTGGGCTGTCAACATAAGCTGCAGCCAAATGTTGTACTGGAGCATAAACACTGAGTGTGGCTGATGAAGCAATAAGTAAAAGGAGTGGACGGGGGGGCCAACAACTTTGCCCCTGTTCTCTGGGCAAGTGTAAGGACTACAAAATGTAGAGGGCCACAGCCATGGCATGCCCAGTGCCAGACACACAGAGCCAGAACTGCTGTACCTGCTGCCTCTGCAGCCTGACTGCAGCTGCCATGGGATTCAGTCTTGGATCAACCAAGAGTGACTACTCTGGATTCACACGCTCCAGCTGCAAATAAACACCCTAAGTACCTGTACACCAGTTCTCTGCCACTGGAGCTGTGTCCAAGCAGCATTGGCTTTACACAGGCAGAGACTGAGCAGCTTCTCTAAGGAGCTTCCCTTCTATTTTCCAGAGTGCAAAGGAATGGGTAGGATACATGTTTGGTGTTCCTAATCATGAGCGATGTATTTTATAGACATCTTCTTCTGTAAAGACTTCTGTGATGGGTGAAATAGAAACAAAGAAGAAAAAAAGTTTTCTCCAATGTCTTGTTAAAAAATGTAAGAAGGCCCCAGAATAATATTCTTTTTTCATCTCCTTTACGTAGTGAAGAAGATAAAAAGGAAAGGACCAAGGTTATGCTACACAGTCAGGATTTAAACTCAGAACTTCTGAATACAACCCCAGTGCCTGAGCTACACATTCATTTTCTTCTCTGTATTCCCCCACAGTCTTAGACCATGTGGCCACTGTTGGTGAAATGAGAAACAGGTGCAGATCCATGAACAGATGGGAGACCAGCCCTGGCTGATCTCTGGAGGATAATACAATGTTGTTTTCCAGCAAAGAGGATTCCAAAGAACCACAGAGGCAGCACCCCTGCCCTAAAATTGAAGCTGCTCTGCATGTTATCTCCACCAGCCCAGCAAGTGGGAGTTTTGAGGAGTGGTCTGTTGTCTGTCAGCGAAGGAAACATCCTTACTGACCTCTCAGACTTGCAATATTGGCATCCCTGATTTTCAGGCCTGCCTATAAAGATTGCAATTCCATTCTTTGCAATAACTGCAGCCAACATTTCGAAGTTGCTGAAACAAGAAATTTCTTCCCTTGAGTAGACAGCTTTGGAATGTCTAACCCTCAAAAAATGCGATTAGTCATATGCAGCATCTTTCTCTGGGAAAATCACTAGTGGTGTGGGATAAATCATCCAGGTAAGATGAATAATTTATTTGTTCTGGATCCGTAAGGACAGACCTACTTTTGATTTCCAGTTCGTGGGGAGCTGATGGCTTGCTCCACAACAAGTGCTTAAACAAAGAACTTGGGCTGCTTTCTCAGTGGGAGAGCGGTG